GAAGAAACTGGTAAGACGAGAAGTAATTGTGATCACAGCCACCTTTCCAGGGCTCCCTGTTCCTAGCAGCGTTGAGCTGAGAAGCCTGCTCAGTGCCACGGCCTCACTTGACTAATGTGACTTATTCCTGGGGTGACTAACCTGCTCAGATACTCAGGGTGACTTCTTGTTCTCCCCACAAATGACATTTGTTTTAAAAGAAGATAGAGCCAAATAACCTGTGCTGGGCTTACGTAGAAAATCAGCTTTCACATCCCTGAAAACGGCCCATGTTTGTTCCGTACACATGACAGACCGCGTAACTTTGGTTGTTTTCAGATCACTTTTACCTTGGCTCAAAACAAACCCAATAGCTTAGCTGAATCAGCTAATAAGCCATCAGAGTCATGACCGTTCAGAGGCAGTGAGGACACAGAAGGCTTGGTTGTCATTCTTGCTTGTCTAGAAGTCTCTGTCCCCCTAACTACGGCTCTGCCCTCTCCCCGAGCACTCTGTGAGCTCTTTGAGAACTGGGAGCACACCCGACCCGGTTCTGCACCCTGAACACTCACACAGCCGCGGCAGCCCTGCCCACGGGGAGACCTTAAAGTCCACTCCCTGCACATCTCCTCTCTGGGTGAGAGCATGTTCTAACACCTTTCTTGGGGGGGGGGGGGCGGCTTTTATATTCCAGCCCTCGAATTCCCGGCCTGCACATGGCTCTGCCGACTTGGATCCATTTAAATTTCGCTGGTTGATCCCCATATCCGCGCTTCAAGTCAGACTGGGGAACACAGCAGGTAATTGGTTTGTGCAGTAGGATGCCAGGAAAAGGCATTTTAAAGAGACTTCTTTGCATCGTGGAATGAAAAACTAGGAGAGAACTTCGGGGATAATTTTTGGGTTTTATTTTATAGGCAAGGGAAACGAGGACAAGAGAGGTTGTTCTGAATTTTTTTTAACACACTTTTGCGGAAAGTAAATGCCAACGGATGGCTTTTCTTTGCCAAATATGTCTCTTCATCGTTTCCTTATCTTCACTCAGTGGTTTTCCACTTTTCTGCCTAATATCCTTGATACCCTGAAATTTGTTAAAGAAAGAAAGGTCTACAAATTTAAATTAAAAATATTTTGAGATCCCAGAAAATTCCTTAAGATTAAGCAGTATTATATGTGATATTAGAAAAAAAAAAAAAATCTTCAACCTTAGAGAATGTTCAGAGATCCTGTGAGACTAACCATGTTCTGGTGACAATGCCTCTGGTGACAGGACCGAGAGGCTGAGGCACGTGGCGATGTCCTGGGTCCCTGTTTACTTTCTGTGTGAACTGCTTACCTTTCCTAGAACAACTGACTTTGGGCTGGCCTCTTTTACCCCAAGTCCCTGAGCACAGCCCTCACGCGGTTCCTTCCAAGGAATACAGTGAATGGAAGGGGGTTGAAAAACAGAATCCGTTTAATCTGTTGCCCAGAGAGGTGAAATCCAGGGCCAGGGAGAAAGCACGTTCAGATGGATGGAAAACTTTACCAGGAAACATAAAAAGTAACTAAAAAGTGCTTAACTTTTGAAAACCATTTGTGACAGTCCAACATAGAATGAGCCACGGAAGAAAATGAGACTCGGGACAGGGAATATTTGACTTGAGTCTTTGTCAACTTCACATCTTTGGCAGAGTTGCAGACCCTTGTCTCCTCTTCCACAGGGACAGAAAATAATTCCATATGGGAACTGATCCATACGAAGTCAGAAATAGAAGGACGGCCAGAAACCATCTTTCAGCTGTGCTGCAGGTACTACTGACTTCCAAAAAACACAGCCGATGGGAATAAGGCCGAATTACGCTCTCTCAAAAAAGGGAGTTTAATTTTAGTGCCCTCCTGAATTTTGATGACTTCAGGTTCACACCCAGCCTCCCCCGACGCGGCAACTGTGCCTGTAATAGAACACGTTGATTAAATATACATCCAAATCTTAGTGCTCCCAGGCACTTCAAGAACCATCACTTTTCACTCTAAAAAGAGTGTAAGTGCGGAGACCACAGAGCCCACAGGCTGGGTAACTCGCTGCCGGTCTGTCCTGAGATCAGGTGACACCGAAGGACAGGGCACGTGGGGTCGGAGCAGGACACTGGACGTTACTGCTGTTTTCTCTTCTCTCTTCACCAGTGACAGTGAGAGCAAAACCAGCATCGTCAAGGTCATTCGATCTATTCTGAGGGAAAACTTCAGGCGTCACATAAAGTGTGACTTACCCCTGGAGAAAACGTGCAAGGATCGCCTGGTACCTCTTAAGAACCGAGTTCCCGTTTCAGCCAAGTTAGGTGAGAACTTTGCCGGCCTTGTGTTTATTCAGAAAAACATTCTGAGCTTCTCTGCAAGGATGTATGTTCTTGCAACACGGCGGCTAAGTCCTCCTCGCGTTGTACAGTCCCCGGGGGAGCTCCGTAAGCTCTGAAGCAGACACCCGAGTCCACAGAGCGGTGCGAGGTGGCGGTGGCAGTTGTTTTCCTTTTAAGACACCTCAACTGCCTCCTGCTCCCAGACCTTGTAGTAAACTGTAACCACTGCCAAGCCCAAGGCCTCATCTTCCCTCCAGCTGACACAGAATCACCATCTCACCTGTTTCTTCCACCGAGAGGGGGGGGGGGGGGGGGAGGCGTGCTTTCGTCACCACCATCATCCCGGTGCTCAGAACGGCTCAGGGCATCTAGAAAGTCATTGCTTGATGAACCGAGATCTTCTACTCATTCTTATCTGCTCAGTGAGTCAGCAAGTAAACATGCCAAGTCATGCTCTTCTTCAGCTTTCTGCTTGCTTTGTAAGATTTCAGTGTGTTCACCTTTCTTCATTAACTATTTTGTTAGCATCTTTGATCTTGTGTGTAGTCTTTTAAAATACTTGTCTTTATTTTGGTCACAATTTGACCTCTTCAAATTTCCTGCATACTTTCTTTTTGTTTCCCTCCATTGCCAAAATAAGCTATATCCATCAAAAACGCACTTATTGTCTATAGAAACCTCACAGCTGGGAGCTCCCCTTTTCCCTGCAACCCAAGAGTGAGGAATTAAACACACACAAATGATTATTCATATTAAATCTCTGAAAGTTGGCTAGAAATGCCAACAGAGACCGTTGTCATGAGTGATAAAGGGCGTTTTTCTACTTTTAATTGAGCAGCAAGGGAAATAAGGGGAGACAATAGGCACAGAAATGTGGTAGAATCTTGGTTATCAAATTACAAAGCACTTTAGTGGAAGAAAGGAACATAGGTTTTATTAATAACTTTTTCATGTATCCATTGGCAGACTGAGAATCCTAGCCCTTGTCACAGTTTATAGCTTGTTGTTCTGGCTAAACAACTGAGCTCCGGTAACTGGTCATCTAAAAATGCCAAACCCTCACGGCACCTGGGTGGCTCAGTCAGTTAACCATCCGACTTCGGCTCAGGCCATGAGCTCACGGTTCGTGAGTTCGGGCCCTGCATCGGGCTGTGCACTGACAGCTCGGAGCTGGAGCCTGCTTCGGATTCTGTATCTCCCTCTCTCTCTGTCTCTGCCCCTCCCCCTCTCCTGTTCTCTCAAAAATAATAATCATTTAAAAAAGTTATTTTAAAAAATGGTCATTAAGAATAAAAATGGCAAACCTTCCAGCATAAAATTTCAAAAAACCTATGTAAAAAATTGGCAGTATCTATTTTTTTTTTTTTTTTACCCAAGTCCCAGGATAGTTGCTAATAGAAGTGAGATGGTAAAATCTAAAGGGATTAAGATGTTAGTGCTTAAACGAGCAATGCCAAAATTACGCATTGTGGAGTCTGTTTCTCGATCATTGAAGGGAAGCGTGATTTTCTCATTGCAGCTTCCTCCAGGTCCTTAAAAGTCCTCAAGAACTCCTCGAGCTGCGAGTGGCCCGGTGAGCCCAGCAAGGGCAGCTCCCTGGACTCGGACGAGGGGAGCCTGAGCAGCAGCACGCAGAGCAGCGGCTGTCCCCCGGCTGGGAGCTCGCAGGACTCCCCACAACCCCCACCTGCAGGCCCGGCTGACTTGTCCCCCAGCCTCATCAAAGAGAGCGACATTCTGAGCGATGAGGAGGATGACTACCATCAGACCCTGAAGCAGGGCAGCCCTACCAAAGACATTGAAATTCAGTTCCAGAGACTGAGAATCTCGGACGACGTGGACGCGAACCCGGCCAACCGGCGGCCCAGAGGCGAGCAGCCCAAGCTGGTCCGCGGGCACTTCTGCGCCATTAAACGAAAAGCCAACAGCACCAAACGGGACAGGGGAACTTTGCTCAAGGCACAGATCCGTCACCAGTCCCTCGACAGTCAGTCTGAAAATGCCAACCTCGATCTCAGTTCTGTTCTGCAGCGAGAATTCAGTGTCCAGAGTTTAACATCGGTGGTCAACGAGGAGTGTTTTTACGAAACAGGGAGCCACGGAAAGTCATAGTAGGATTTCCGTCCGACGCGGGTTAAATGGCTTGTTTTACCTTTAAACTGGTGGTAAAGTGGAAATTGCAGAAAAACTATTCGTTATTGGGTTTTGTGCAGCATACGTTTTCCCACGAAATAGTTGTAAAGATTTAAGTTATTTTAATTTATTGTAGATCAGAAAACTAGATTAAACTGATCAGAATCTGTAAATTACTTAGTTTATATCCCTTTTGATCAGGTATCAAAAATGACTTAGGATCCTTAAAATTGCAGTCTATTTTAATTTATGTGGAAAAAGATGGAGTTGTGATTAATAATTTTTAAAAGGTCATTCCCCCCCCCCTCCCCAATCCTCTGGGCATTTTCTTTGAGCTGTTAGTTTTTGCTTTATTTAAAGCATATTTATTTTAATGTGGGTAAGGGGCACAATGTGCAGATACTTCATTTTTGTAAGGTTGTAATAGATGCTGTTTATACCGAACATGTCCTATCTATGCAGTATATATATTAAAAGAAAGCTTGTACTGTATGTTATTTGATTATTTTCTCTACCGAGTTGTACAGTAAAAGGGAAGTAAGTCACACCTGGTCATCGTATTTTTATTGTCCTTCCAAAGTGGACCAAAGAGTGTACCTCTGAGCAGCTCAACTTTGGGAAAACCAACATCCGCAAAGCTGCTTGCCACTGAAGCGGCAGCTATCGTCGGGATCTCTCCTTGTCGTTCTCTCTTTCCTGATTTTTGCTTTTATTTTGCTTGAGTTCTTCTCTGAAATTATAAGTAAAGAGGTGTGGGTCTTCATCACACATTTTCCGGTACACATCACAGAGGCTCTTAAAATGGGAGACAGAGAGCTGGCTGGGTCGAAGGGTAGGGTCCACGTCCGCCAACTCTAACAGTTTCTCAGTGCTTTCCACGCGCTGAACTTCAGGGAATAACATCCTGAGAAGAGAAAATCATCAGACTGACTTGGGGAACTCTGTAAGTCATGATGCCTCCTACTCTACATCGTTTTGACAACTGAACACCGGAGGGGCTGGAAGAGACAGCCGGCTGGCTTGGCTGCAGGGCTCCGAGCTGGTGAGGAGGGGTCTCGGTCTTGCCACCAGGCAACAGGTACGAGGGACACTGAAGGCAGAGCTAATGTGACCTGTGCCATACATCCCCGTGGGAAGGTATTTTCCACAGCTCCATCAGTACAAGTATCGTTTAAGGTGACATCTGCTCAGTTCCATTCTTAATGTTTGATTTGCCTCATTTTTAAAAAATTTGCCACATATCTTAATATGAAACTTGTCTAATTTCTCCTCTATAATTTGAACTTAGCCTTGGGAACTCTACACCCCCCAGAAAATGACCTTGACCTTACTATGCAAAGTCAGAAAACGGGTGACGTGAAAATGCAAACAGATCATTCTTTTAGATTTACCTTCAGGCATCTTTAAAATTGAAGTATGTATTTTAAACTTCATCTAACCAAGCCAGACCACTGTTTTAAAATGAATGACAAAACTGACTGAAATGCTGGAAAGCTACCCCTGGATTTTTTTTTTTCTCTCAACAGTTGGAGGCTCTACGGAGCTCAGAGGTCATGGCTGGCTGAGATGGGAGTTTTCCTTATAGGCTCATGGTCCTGGAGTGAAGAACTCCACGTTCCCTACAGTGTCCGGGCAAGCTGTGATCTCGGGGTTTCAGTTTCATATCAAGGAGGGGTTTGATCACTCGGGACCAATTTGTGGGTGTATATGACTAAAGGACACCAAGAGATCCAAGTGGGTCACGCTATTTGGGGTTCCTATCCGCACAGGGGACTGTGTATATGAAACGAAGGGGCCCATCACCTAGCTTGGAAACACAAGGGCCAGCTCTGGACTCAGGCCAATTTCGGGATTTCCAAAAGTAAAGTGTGCTTTTCGTGATTTTTTTTTTTTCCCCTCCATGAATCAGGGCCATCACATAAAACTGTCCCGGTCACAGCCTGTGTGAAGGGGAAGCATCCCAGCAGGGGCCCGCGGCCTTCATCGCAGCCAACACTGGGCCAGCTCCGTTCCTTCGGTCTCCGCTCGAGAGGCAGGACCTGTACGGTGATGTAAAAATCCTGGCCTAATTGGAGTTCACAAACGGCAAGCCCAGGATCGAACATCAGTCCGCTCAAATCCTCAGGAGTGAGTTTTCGGGGACAGTTTCAGGATGCAGCTGGCCAGCCGTACCTGAAATATGTGCTAAGGGGACACTTCACAAAACCAGAAAAAGACATGGAGCTTTTCAAATGAGAGGGATTTTAGAAAATGGGAGATGCAGGCCTACAAGGCCAGGCCCAGTTTTTAAACACACACACACCTTCCTGCCTTACTTGGGCCGAATTAAACATTTTCTTGGCTGCCACCAGACACAGGATACCACTGTGCTCACGCCAGGGCCTTTGGGGGCACGTGGACTGTAAGCCGCCACGTTCAGGCTGCGTTTGGGGACAGTGGCCACGTGCGTGTGCAGAGCAGTGAGCACGGCGGAACAGAGGGGCTCCCCATTAAATACTTGGTGACGCCATTCTGGCTGCTCCAGTGTTAACTTACCTTCTAGTTCTCATTGTGTCATATAGCAACTCGATGGAAAGAAAGCACTTAGAAAACCCCAGTAGTGCGAGAATACATTCGGTCTTCATTCCACGTTTCTGACACAGAGCTTTTAAAACCTTTAAATTTCCGGATGGGGTGATAGCATATTTGCGATTACTAATAAAACTCCTTTTCAACCATACCTGAGTTTATGCTACTGGGGGGCTCCTGGCGGGTCCCCCGATAGCTTCAGGATGGGGACAGGTGCCAAAGGAAACAAGCCTGATCAGAAGGTTGGAACTTTCAGTCTCACCTCCCCCACCCCCTCCGGGCCCCCCGGCCCCCCAGGTTGAGGAGAGGGGCTGGAGACCAAGCTCCATCACTAGTGGCCAGTGACTGTACCAGCTGTGCCTAAGGGAACATCCGGAGAGCCCTTAAATGATGGGGTTCACAGAGCTTCCGGGTTGGTGAAAACAGTGAGGTGCTGGGAGGGTGATGAGCCCAGAGAGGAGCCCTTGGCTCCCACACAAACTTCGCCCTACATCTCTTCCCTTTGCTATCCTTGAGTTCTGTCCTTTATGGTAAGTTGATAAGTGAAAGGGTTTTCCTGAGTTCTGTGAGCCATTCCAGCAAATTACTGAACCTGAAACGGCAGGGGTAGGGGGTGGTCACACAAATCCCAGAAATCCCCAATTCATAGCCTGTGGGTCAGAAATACAAGGGGGCGGGGGCGCCTGGGTGGCTCAGTCGGTTGAGCGTCCGACTTCTGCTCAGGTCATGATCTCGAGGCTTGTCAGTTCAAGCCCTGCGTCGGGCTCCGTGCTGACAGCTCGGAGCCTGGAGCCTGCTTCGGATTCCGTGTTTCCCTTTCTCTCCGTTCCTCCACTGCTCACACTCGATCTCTCAAAAATAAACATTAAAAAAAAAAATACAAGTGGCAACCTGGGACTTACGACAAGCATCTGAAGCGGGGGTGGTCTTGTGGCCCTGAACCCTTAACCTGGGGGGTGTATGCGGCTCCACGTCAGTGTCAGACCTGACCTGTAGGACGCCGGCTGGTCGACGTCACGCATACAGGTCAGAAGTGTTGAGCGTAAAAGCCAGCTGGCAGGGTCGACCCTGACGGAGGACTCCTGGCCCCCGCAAGGCAGGTCATTACCGACCTGTGGCTGTTTCAGGCTGTACTGATGCTGGAGCCATGTGTCCGTGGCCCCAGGGTTCAGTCACAGTTTTGCTGTTTCCTCGTGGCAGTCAAGCTTTGCTCACCTTAAGAGGACCATTCACAAACAGCTTGAAGAATCCTAAAAACGAAGTTCTTAATCTTTGAAAGTATTAGGATTTTAGAAAGCACGCGGCTGAAAGGAAGAAGGCATTCTTACCCCAGGCCTCGATAGCAGTATTTCCTTCGGAACTGAAATGCGTTCTGCACGACTCTCTCCACCAGCTTGAATGGCTGCTCTATCCTGGGCCGTGTCAGGGGCGTGAAGTGCACCACGCCCACGTCCACCTGCGTCGTGAGCAAAGGTACGTCACTCCGTGGCACGGTAATCACGTGACTAAAACAACTCATCTTAGTAAAACACAGGCGGATGGGCGGTTGACGGCGTAGTCTTCGTAAACCTTTACAAGGGCTTCGCCTTCGTCCACGGTAGGCAGGTGAGTTGCTGCGCTTGGCACTGAGCTCAGAGCGATCACGGTTGCGTCTGCTCTGTAAGCACATCCCGTAGACCTGTGCTTGAGGATCACTTGATCTCAAAATGGAGTTTTACAATGGCCTTTTCAGATCGATCCAAATAATCATTAAAGCCAGTAGGCAGATAACAGCTTTAGAGGGTTTTATTTAGCTCTGGAATGAGAAAAAACAAGCTGCAGCAGCAGTTCTATGAGGCGGGGCTTCGAAACAGAGAAGAGAAGGCAGATGGCCCCCCAGGGACCACTTAGTGCTAAACTCCCCAGAAAGGGAATCAGTTAGGACACCACTTATTTTGGGTACAGACACTGATTAATCAGCTGTACTGAATTCACGGTCGTCATGTGCACATCACTTTTGGGAGCAACTTTAAATGTCCTGGGAGGTCCAGGCAAGGTTAAATAGGAAAAGGAAACCACCAAAATGCCACTGTGTTGGTCTATAATATATCCTGTCTTAGTCTAGAACTGGGCTCATGGTCATTCACAAGTATATATTCAGAATAACAAAGGAACAATCGTATTGAAAGCAAAGACGAAGACGGAAGTGGAGTCAGAGCAGTTGCCACACACAAAAATGCCCGACAGAGACCATGGCCTGACAAGTGGAAAGTGTGTTCAGAATCTACAAAAGCCTTCGTCTCTGAGGAGTTGTTCAATTTGCTACTTAGAACATCACACAGACTCTCAGAGGCTTAAAGTCTAGCAATTTATGGAGGGGAGGTGGTACCACTGCTTTTCAAAAGGAATTCATTCTATATTTTTTAAAATTCCACAGGGGTTATCGTGTTCTCCTGGGAGGCCTTGCTTCTAAACATCCTTGTGGCTACAAAACTCCACAAAATTGGCCTGCAGTCTGTGAGGATGGAGTGTTTTCAGGGTGGAGGGGAAGTACTCGCATACGACACGAGACCGCGTGGACGGGAACAGAGAAGGCGTGCGTGGACCGACAGTTATTCCGCTTCAGGGAGGGACTACCTGTAATGTTAAGTGTTCTCATTAAATTTTAAGTTTTTCATATTGTGTTCTATGCGTCGCTTCATCAGTTTCTCCAAGTTCAGCAACGAGTACTGTAGAAAACAAAGGCTTGGTTAAAAGGCCAGGACTTCTGTAGACCTGCACAAAAACACCAACGAACAGGGCCCGGGGGTGTTGGAGAGGGCACTGGAGAGGATAAAGACTGGGGGGGGGGGGGGGCTTCAGGGTGGACAGGAGCACGTCAGTCATCAGGGAGGGAAAGATGTGTGTGTCTGTGGCAGGAAAAAGAATCTGAGCGGAGGACAGCGGAAGAAGCCGAAACACTATAACGACTTTAAAGGTCAAAGCCTCTGCTCACAAACTCTGAAAGATCCATCCCCACCTTTCCTCCTATTTATCTGGAACGGAGAAGTGAACCCAGCTGTCCAGGAAGGTTCTAGGCCTCGCGCCATCACTCTATACTTCTCCATACCACTTCCCCCCACTGAGCCCACTGGCATCCGCCCCTCTCTCTCTGCCGGCCTCCAGGACTCCACTCTTCCAGCCCTTTTAGGCCAGTTTGTCCATGTGACAGTCTGTCCTGACGGAGCTCTTCGCAGCCCCCAGCTATGAGCCAGCAGCCTGCCTGTCCCCAGGGAAGCTCAGCTTTTAGCAAATGGGGTACAATCTAAGCCCTAGCTAAGCCCAGGCCGTTATCAAAACTCTGTCATGTTCAAATACAATAAAGAATAAAGGCACCGATACAGGGATAGATGCAGTCCCCTTCTAGTACAGAAACTGCCACCTCCAGCTTCTTTGGATTTTAAAATTTGGTGCCGCCTTTTGGGGGCACCTGGGTGGCCCAGTCGGTTAAGCATCCGACTTGGGCCCAGATCACGATCTCACAGTTTGTGGGTTTGGGCCCCGCATCGGGCTCTGTGCTGACAGCGCAGAGCCTGGATCCTGCTTCGGATTCTGTGTCTCTCTCTCTGGTTCCTTCTCCGCTCACACTCTGTCTCTGTCTAAATAAATGTTAAAAAAAAAATTTGGTTTTCTTTTTGCCCAATTTTATTTCTTTGAGATACAGTTGGTGTTTGCAAATATAGAAAATGTCTTACGTCGGTTTTCCATAAAGTCTTAAGCCCCGTACAAATACAGCAGCACCCTAACTGTAGCGGACTTCTAAAGATCGAATGTAGTTCTGATAGTTGAGATGGCTAACGGGATATCCCAGCTAAAAGAAAATACCTACTCACAATCAAATACAGTTCCTATCCAGTGGAGGACCCTGAGAAAATGGCCCTTCCAGTAATGTGTCCTGCTTCCCTGCAAGACCTCCTGTATCGCCCTCTTTTCCACCCCCACCCCCAAAAGCACTTTTCGGAATTACTGTGAATGACGGAGCCCATTGTCTCTAGAACTACAGGAAAGCTGCTTGGTAACTAGGGTAACAGATACAAAAATGCTTTTTACTTATATTTGAATGCTTATTTAAAAATTGCAACCATTATTTTTCCTTCCTTGAATTTTAACCCTATTAAAGGGCTTCATTGCAAAAAAGCAACCAGTACGTAGGCACTAGATGCACTTAACGATTCTATTTTATTGTTGCCAGCAGCTTTCCAAACTCAGTCTATCAGGATACCAAAATGACCTAAGAAAATTTCAAATGAAAGGATCTGTAATGAATCTAAAATATCTGCCTCTCAAATCCACTCGAACATCAATGCTGTACCAAGCTGAGACGATGCTTCTCAACATCAGCAGCCGGGGCTGCACGAGGCTGCAGGCTGAAGTTCCATTTTCCAGACCAGCGTGTCTAGGGTGGGACTAGTTAGGACACTGCGGGAGACCTGGGATAAGAAGCCAGGAAATCTCCAATCTCAGACGTTGCCAACTCAGATCCCGAATCAACAGGAGAACAGAGAATGCCGAAGAATGGGCCGCCCAGCTCTTGCCGGGGGATCCTAACAGGGCGGAGAGCTACCTAACTACCCCGGGAAAAGGCACAGAAAACAACAGGAGCCATTCCCTAAGAAAGGGTCCTCCACACTTCCGATGGCATTTGAGACCATTCAGGGGCAACCCAGTGGAAAGGGAAAATGTTTAGGAAGTAACAATTTATAATTGGCTGAAGTGTAACCATACCTGGGAGAGAATAGAAGGGCGAGAGAAAAAGGGCTACAGGGAATCGCCGAGAAGCCTTCAAGAGCAGTAAGAGAAGGGTTCAAAGGTCAAGGTGGTACGGTCTCAGATTAGCATAGCTGGGAGTGGGAAGGGTCTGACTCTTCAGGTCCCTGCACTGAGCTAACGACAGCCTCCAGTGGCAACTTCCTCAGACAAGGGTGACAGATCGGCAAGTCGTTAATGCCTAGGATACTAGAATTACACATTTTGTAGAAAAACACTTACAGATACAAATGTCTATCAAATTTCCTACAATTGGTTTATTCTGCCTGTAATCTTGGTCCCAAGGCCAACTTAAGGACAGAATTTCAGTTTTAAAACCTTAAAATACAAACACTTTAACAGCATTCCAGGTGTTCTGAACCCAACGTACTTGACATAGGCTGACACGCTGTTATACCTACAAATCTTTCTTTAAAGTTTATAATTTGTGGGGCACCTGGGTGGCTCAGTCGGTTAAGTGGCTCAGGTCATGATGTCACAGTTAGTGCGTTCCAGACCCGCGTCGGGCTCTGTGCTGACAGCTCGGAGCCTGGCGCCTGCTTTGGATCCTGTGTCTCCCTCTCTCTCTGCTCCTTCCCCGCTTGCGCTCTGTCTCTCTCTCTCAAAAAATAAACACACACATTTTTTGAGTTTATGATTTGTATTTTCTATAACAGTATTAATTTCTCTAGAAGTTCCACCCCACCTTTTTTTCCTCCTTTTTATTTTTGAATGTTGTTTTTTCTCTTCCTCCTTGGAATCACAAAGCAGTCACAGTACTTCCTCTCAAGAGTATGAGCTCGAAGGACAGTGAGCTGGGAGTATGATGAGGAATTAAGGGTAAGAAAGACACACCCACGTGGGGGGAGCAAATGGAGAGAGTGCTTCACAGTGTAAATTATGCATGTAAATGTATGCATGTCAGTGACTGTATGTATGTAGATTGTGCCTAGTCGGAACAAGAAGAGCAAGATGAGTCTCTTGGTCCCAAAATAGGGAACCCGTTTCAGGGAGGCGAATGCTTAATTCTAAACAAAGCACAAGAGGGACAAGAACAAACACTGGATTGAGATTTTCTGTTACATTTAACTTGGAGTTCCTGGACGATCATGGGGAAAACCCCTAAAACCATGAGCTTTCCCACCAACCATGACTTGGGGGTTTGTGAAACAGCATCTGGAGGGGCCCTGCTCTCTGGGGCCGCAGGTTGGTAGCACAGGGGCCATCACGAGGGCCCAGCCTCCGCTTTCGCAGCGCCTCAGTGCGATCTGTTCTTCAGGGACAATGTCAATCCAGGCGGACTCACGAGACACTCAATGAGGACTGCTGCTCTCGAAAATATTAAAAGACTCATAAATGAACACAGATGCAAATATATTAACTCACAAGGAGCCACGCTGCCGAAGAGACTAGGGGCTATCTTCGAGTTACCTTGTCACTACCTTCCCCTATGTGCGTATAAAACGACAAAAACTACCCCTAAATGCAGGCCCCGTTACTATCAGAAGACCGCGGAGCGACACGGATGGGAGCAAGCATATACGGACTGGTGGCCGCCATGGTCACTGGTGTCTGCCCTGAGGGCCTGACCTCTCACTGGCACAGGTGGGGCCGGACTCTCCCGGTCCATGTGCTACGAGCACCCAGACCGCCGCGTTCCTTGTGCTGACGTGTTGTTCCTTTAAATATCCTCATGTTGTCTGGCTTTTCTGGTTTCTGACTTGAAAGACATTCTGTCTTTAAAAAAATTTTTTTTAATGTTTGAGAGAGAGAGAGAGAGTGCGAGCACAAGCAGGGGAGGGGCAGAGAGAGGGAGACACAGAATCCCAAGCAGGCTCCAGGCCCTGAGCTGTCAGCACGGAGCCTGATCTCGTAACCGCAAGATCATGACTTGAGCCGAAGTCGGACACCTGACCGACTGAGCCACCCAGGTGCCCCAGAGATATTCTGTCCTTTGAAAGGCAGATTCTACAGCTGCTAGATCTCACCCTTTACCTGCTTATCTTGCTAGTTTAACTCACAGAGCTCTGGGGTCTCAGAGTCTTCCCTATATACCTATCACCAGAGATAAAAATAAATAAATAAATGATTCAAACTGATGCAAGCTTTATAATCTGGCAAGATCACAAAGTCCTCGTGGACTCAGGGCGCCAGAGTGTGGGCTGGGATGCAGGACACCTTGCTGGACAGGAACGGGGGTGGGGAGGGGGAGAGAGAGAGAGAGAGAGAGAGAGAGACAGACAGACACAGGGAAGAAAGGCAAAGAGGAACAAGGCAAGAGAAGCAGTCGGTGCCGAGGGTCAGGCCTACAGAAGGCCATTCAGCCCACAATCTTGGATATGGCCGGTAAATGAGGAGGTTTTAAAGAAACCCGTCCTGCTCTTCAAAATAATGTGCAAAGAAGATGTAACAAATACATGTTTACACTGCTTATTAGACTGAAAAAATTACATCCATCTGCAAATGTCACCACAAAATCCAAAGATAGTCTTAATATTCTAAAATCATGTGAGGAAAACAGAAAACGAGTCGTCAGGATCCCTCCTCTGAAGACATGAAAGGGAGAAACAAAGCGTAAAAATTAGCTAACAGCTAATAAACAAATGTAAGTGTAACTTACATAGGCCGTCCCCCCGCCCCATGGTTTGCTCTCTGTGCTTTCGGCCGCCCCCAGCCAACCTCAGTCCGGAGGCAGAGGACCCTCCTCCTGCTACAGTGCCAGAGGGTCCGCAGTGACCTACCACTATGTCACAGTGCCTACATCAC